ACAAACAATCTGACTTGGCTGACTGGAAGATTTGTAGAGCTTGGCCAGTCCTCACATTCTTCCACCCAAATGAACTTGTCAAGAGGTCAAAAACACCCAGCAGGAATGCCAGAAATCTCAGCTTGATTTGGTGAAGCAAGACTTGGAAGAATAACTCTTGGTTTGAAAAGAGCACTAATAGATTCAATGAACTTGGGTCCTGGTCCACCATTAAGAGGATAACAGAGGATAGTAGAGGGCTGGGGTTATGGCTCAGTGGGGTATGATGGTGCTTGCCTAGTATGTGTGAAGTACTAGGTTTAATCCTCAGCACCACATAAAAATAAATAATATAAAAGGTATTGTGCCCATCTACAAGTTAAAAAAAATTATGAATTTTTAAAAATAAAAAAAGAGGATAGTAGAATGTTCCTGTGGAATTGCTCTAACTTTTATGCTGAAATTTCTTCATCCATCAACTGGCCGTTATAATATGCATTATATTTTTTAAAAATCATGTATTCAGTGCTGGGGTTTTGGCTCAGTGACAGAGCGCTTGCCTCACATATGAGAGGCACTGGGTTCGATCCTCAGTACCACATAAAAATAAATAAACAAAATAAAGATATTGTGCACATGTATAATGAAAAAATATTTTTAAAATCATGTATTCAAATTATTTTTGACTTTATCCTAATTTTTCTTTTTTCATCTTCACTTCCAGCTGTTTATGGCCTTTGGTCTTGGCTCTATTCATTGCTGTGTGTTAAGCATCACTTCATGTTCGAGAAGATAGTTAGCGGGGAAACCTATTCTACTTTGCTTTTGAAGAGACGCATAAAGATCACCCCATATTTAGGGCATCATTGGCTCAAATGGACAAGCTCTTTGCCAGGGGCTTATATTTGAAGAGTCCTCATGTAAACCCTTTCCCATCCTCATTTGCTAAAATCTATTTCTTGTTCTACCTAAAGTAAAACAATATCCAACTGACTATACTATATGCCTGCTTACTGAACAAAATTACAATTTTTCTCCAAGTTTGCTAGCACATGCCTTACTTCCTGATGTCCATTCCTGTATTGGTCAAAGGCTGAGTAACCTGTCTATCGTCTCATATATTTGTATGCTCACCCATTTATGTACCCACCTGTACACACACACACCCCACACACTTCACACATACATGCATAACTAGTTTTTTGATGGCAGAGACAATAGGTTATTCACCATCACATCGCCAATTCTAGCATGATGCCTAGCATATGATAGATTTCAATGCATCAATACACTGTTATTCTCCTTTACCACCAAAAGGCTAGAGTGGGGAGAGGCTGGGGCTGTGACTCAGTGTAGAGCACTTGCCTTGCACATGTGAGACACTGAGTTCTATCCTCAGCACCATATAAAAATAAATAAAGATACTGTGTCCATCTACAACTAAAAAATATTTTTTAAAAAGGCTTGACTGAGATTCAATGCCCTTAAAAGTGTGTTCAGTGTGCATTTATTACATCACTACACAAATCCTATTACTTTGAAGTTAAGCATGTCCAAGAAAACACAATTTTACCTCATCACCTAAAAAAAAACTATAAGGTTAATTAATAACATATATTTTTGTATTTACTAACCATGCACTATAATTGTTTAATAGAACAAATGATTGGGTTGAGATTTAATAGCTTTATTGAGATATAATTGAAATAACATGCAATTTACCCATTTAAAGTGTGAAATTCAATGATCTTTAGTAGAGTCACAGAACTAAACAATTAGCACCATAATCAATTTTAGAATATTTGCATCCATCAAAGGAAAAAAATTAAAAACCTGTTCCCATTAATAGTCACCCCCTTATTTCCAACCTCGTCCCCCACCTTCCCTAGGCAACCACTAATCTACTTTTTGTCTCATAGATTTTCACATCCTGAACATTTCATATGAATGTAACCGTATCTTTATGCTTATTTCATATAATCGCCCCCATCCTTAGGCAATCACTAAACTATTTTCTGCCTTATAGATTTGCCTTTTATGAACATTTATATAAATGCAATATGTAAATTTTGTGACTGGAGCCTTTCACTTAGCATAATGTTCTCAATTTCATTTCTGTTGTAGCATCATATATCAATACTTCATTTTTATTGGTGAATAAAATGCCAATATATGTTAAAAAACATTTTGTTTATCCACTTATCAGTTGCTGAACACTTATCAGTTGCTGAACTTAAATAAGGCTGCTATGAAAATTCATGTACAAGTTTTTGTGTGGACATATCTTTTCAATTATCCTAGGTATATAACCAGGAGTGAAATTGCTGGGTCATATGATAAGTTTGTATTGTAACTTTTGGAGTAACTGTGAGATGTTTTCCAAAGTGGTTGCATCATCTCGCCATCTGTGTTTGAGAGTTCCAATTTCTCCATATCTTGTCTTTTTTGTTTGTAGCCATCCTTGTAAATATGAAATAGTATCCTGTGGTTTTGATTTATATGCTCTGTTGGTTAACGATGTTGAACATATTTTTTTTTCATGTGCTTTTTGGTCACTTACTTGTATCTTCCTTTGAGAAGTACCTATTCAGATCCTTTGCTTATTTTTAAAATTGGGTTGTTTATCTTCTTATTACTGAGTTGTAAGTGTTCTTTATATATTTTGGAAACAAGTTTCTTAACAGATACATGACACATAATCATTATTTCTGATTCTATGGGTTATCTTTTCGTGTTCTTACTGGTATTGTTTGTAGTGCAAAAATTTTACATTTTTATGGAGTTCTGTTTATTTTCTTTTGTTGCTTGTGCAAAAAAAAGCCAGCTGAGATTTTTTTTATAGGGATTTATTGGATTTAAAGGTAAATTTGAGGAATATTGCCATTTTATTTTCTTATTATTTTTTTTAAAGAGAGAGAGAGAGAGAGAGAGAGAGAGAGAGAGAATTTTTAATTTTTTTTTTTTAAATTTTCGGCAGTCACAACATCTTTGTTTTTGTATGTGGTGCTGAGGATCGAACCCGGGCCGCACACAGGCCAGGTGAGCGCCCTACTGCTTGAGCCACATCCCAGCCCAATGTTGCCATTTTAATAAAATCAAGTTCTATAATCTATGAGCATGAGATTCTTTATAACATTCCAATATTTTTCAATATTTTGGTTCAGTTTTCCTGACCCACACCTGGTCAGAGATATACCCTAGGTCTATAGAACATTATAGTGGTCAAAAGCACAGTTTCTGTCTAGAGTTTGACAACTCAGAGTGAAAGTCCCAGCCCTTCTTCTGACTAGCTATGTAAATATGGACAAATTATTTAACTTTTCTTAGTCTCTGTTTTCTTAAAACAAAGTATAAAGTGCAAATAATAATACATATTACACAGGATATAAAGATTAATAAACATAAATATGTGACACACTTAGCATTGCACCTGCAACGTTTTCCCTTAAGTGCACTCCACCATCTCTTTGGAATTCATTGACGTTGTATCTTGTTTCCCTCAAAATTTCTGTGCCTTCCTTAAAGATAATGAATCAAACTACTTAAAAGCTTCAGTTCATGTCTAATGGAAGAGGTTCAAAAGAAATGGCTGGTCAACTAACCAGCTCTGCTCTTCCTTCCCATATGATCTAGGTACATATCAATTAAGAAATTTTGGATTTAGTTATCCTTTTCCTCTACAGTCGGACTTCCACATACAATGATTCTTTTAAAATATAAGTCAAATCATTTAATTGTTCTGCTCAAGTCCTTCAGTAATTTCCCATCCCTCCTCCCATAACAGCCAAAAACATTGCAATAGTTTAAGAATTTAAGACTAGTAAAACCCTATGTGATCTAATACCTGACTACTCTTTGACCTCATTTCTGATACCATCCTCTGTCCTAGCCTTTCCTCAAACCTGTCAGACACATTCCCACACAGGGCCTTTGGATATGCTCATTTTGTTCTATCTACAAATATTTTCCTATGGATATCAACTTGGCTTCTTCAGTTATAGCCTTTGGGGTCTTTGCTCAAATATTGCCAAGTAAGGCTGACCATCCTGTATAAAATAGCAAAATTATTCCTCTTATTAACTTGCTTTATTTTTCTCCCTAGCACTTATAACCCTCTGACAAATGACATATTTACTTGTTTATTTCCTTCTATAAACTGCAAGTAACATATGTTCGTGTATTTGATTCCTTTAATAGTCCCAGGCATATTTGATGCTTGTTAAATATATGCTAAATGAATGGCCTCCAAAGTTGTCTTTTCCTATAAGTAAGTAACTTCAGTAGTAAGAAGACCAACAGGGCAAGACCAAGGGAAAGGATTGCTTTCTGTCAGATGAAATGTTCTTCTTCAATCAATCAAAGGATAAATTCTACTCAAAGCTCAAACATAGCTTGACACAGTCCTGTATTTTTAAATTAACAGAATTTCAAGAAATGTTAGAATTAGCTCTAAAGTGGACAGAGATAGAACTAGAAAAAAAAAAAGAAAGGTAGAATTATCTGATTCCCACTCCCCTTTGCCCTATCCCCATAATCTATGCATTCTGTGTTTCAGAGTGGATTTATAACTTTATCATTTTGTTATTTAAAAATGGATATAATGCCACTTTACTTTTTCCACACATGGTATTTCTGTTGGTATTAAGATCTTAGGGGGCTGGGATTTGGCTCAGTGGTAGAGCACTTGCCTCAGCACCACATGAAATAATAAAGATATTGTGTTCCTCTACAACTAAAAAAAAGAAGAAGAAGAAGAAGAAGAATTAAAAAAAAAGATCTTAAAAATTCGTTAACAAGATTGTGGTTAACTTTGCAATTAGAAAACACAGTGCCATGCCTAGGAATTGAACTACAGTTCCCAGAGTGCATCTCTTAGGAGAACTCTGGGAAGTGTGGCAGAAGTATGCTTTTTGACAACCATAGAGAACTTTATCAAGCATAGGGATTAAATTACATTTCCCAGAGTGCTTCTTTTAGGAGGATTCTGGGAGGTGTGGCAGAAGCAACAATGGTCTCTCCAGGGAAGAGAAGTTGTTTGAACTTGAACATTTGGAGTTTGCTGGTTTCTGCTGATTCTTGAGGCCTAGGAAGGCACCCCCAAAAGAATTCAGAGTGAGTACAGTAGAACAGAAATGTGCTCAGGTTCTAAGTGCAAGAAGTTATTTTATAGGGAGACATAATTAGAACTTAATAAAAGCTCTTAGTTATAGTGTTTTACAATTTAGGTTAATCTCTTCTCTGTCTTGAAGAAACCAGGGGAATGACCAGTTTTGCACTTGTGAAGCTATCTCATTAACTACAGTTCATCACTTTCTGATACCTCTCTGAAGAGTTGTTTAAAAATAGAATTTGCTAACTTCTCACTCTTTGCCTTAATTTTTTAGTTAAAGGAGGAAACACCATCTTTTAGAAAGCAAGTCAGAAGACCTTGAAATTTGTACCCCAGTGGTTCCTCAGGTCCCCATATTGTTGAGGTCTATAGTCATGCCAAGATAGATGGACTCTCTCCAGAGGGCTCTCCCAAACATCAGAGTCTTAACCTCTTCTTGGTGATAGCAACATAAAGACTTGAAATGAGCTTTTTTTGTTATGCTTTTAGGCTTTATAAATTAATCCTTCTCCTGGAAAGATGAACAGAATGAGAAATGTGTGTGACTCGTTGATTTCAGAGAGTTCAGAGAAATTGTTAATCTTAAGGTCATCATTTATTAGTTTTTGAAAAAAGTAATATTACTTTTCATTTCTATTAGGCTATGTACTTTAAAGGGAAAAAACAAAGAACAAGTCAGCCATGATAATTCAACCATAGGCTGGTAGCAGAAACTGGGCAAAACATCAGACAGCCAAGTACACTGGGCTACATAGATTCGTCAGTAGTTAAAACCGCAACCAAATAGTTCTTGCAGTTCCCAGGATCCAAAAAATACTCCAAAGGAATTCCCTTTGACTCACAGGGAATATGCTGAGGTATTTCCAGTAACAGTGGCTAAGAAATAGCCTCATTGACCAATTAGTCCCAGGAACTACTATTTTATGATACTTTCTTTTATTCAAAAGTACATACGGTTATAAAAAATGTTCAAGTGCAAACTGGACAAGGTGGCACACACCTGTAATCTCAGCAACTTGGTAGGCTGGGGCAAGAAGATCACAGTTTGAAGGCCAATTTCTGCAATTTAGCAACACCCTGTCTGAAAAGAAAAAAAAAAAAAAAGGGCGGGCGAGGGGCTAGGGTTGTGGTTCAGTGGTAGAGCACTCACCTAGCACAGGTGAGGCACTGGGTTCCATCCTCAGCACCACGTAAAGATAAATAAATAAAGGTTTTTTAAAAAAAAACGGCTGGGGATGTAGCTTAGTAGTTCAGCATCCCTGGTTTTTTAATCCCTAGTGTTGCAAAAAGAAAAAAAATTAAGTGCTGAAATGAATAAAGTAAAAATTACAAGTACCTCTTTCAGCCCTTAGAATCTCCTTCCCTCTCTCCAGAATTAGTCACTGTTAAGAGTTTGGTATGGGGCTGGGGATGTGGCTCAAGCGGTAGCGCGCTCGCCAGGCCAGGCATGCATGCAGCCCGAGTTCGATCCTCAGCACCACATACAAACAAAGATGTTGTATCCGCCGAAAACTGAAAAATAAATATTGAAATTCTCTCTCTCTTAAAAAAAAAAAAAAAGAGTTTGGTATGTGTATTCCTAGTCATTTGAAAAATATAAACAAATACACAAATTATGTACTCTGGAATATATGTATATGTCCATTTCTTTATAAATTCATTAGACCATGCTGACCAACCAAATATTACTTACTTTTTTCCTCCAGTTTAAGGCATAACTGGCAAATAAAAATCATATATGTAATATACATACTATAACATCATATGTAAAAATTATATATGTATATATGTATATATATGCATCACACAATTTTGATACATGCATTCATTATGAAGTTATTAAATCAAACTAATCCATCACCTCACATTCTTGTGATTTATTTTTTCAATTGTAGATGAACACAATACCTTTATTTTGTTTTATTTATAAAACAAAATATTTATTTATTTACTGTGGTGCTAGGGATTGAACCCAGGGCCTTATGCAAGTACTCTACCAACTGAGCTATATCCCTAGCCCTATTTATTTTTTTACGTGGTGCTGTGGATCAAACCCAGTGCCTCACACATGCTAAGCAAGCGCTCTACCACTGAGCCACAACCCAAGCCCTTGATTTTTTTTTAATTGTAGTAAGGACACTTAAGATCTATTCTTAGTAATTTTCATATATACAATACATTAACTATAGTCATCATGCAATACAATAGATCTCCAGAATTTAATATCCTGTCTAACTTAATTATCCTGTCTAAAGTATTATTTTAGTGCTTTTGATCAACATCTCCTATTGCCCCCTTGCTTTTCTTACTTAATGATAGATTCTGAATAAACTTCCCTATTACTACATAAATATTTTTAACTGTTATATTATTTTCTATTTATTTTTAACAGCAAAGTGTGTTATTCCATTTCATTATAATTTTTAAAACATTCTTGTACATGTCCTTCTCTTCCTAGAATAAATTCCTAGAAGTAGAATTGTTAGGTGAAAGGAATGCTTATTTAACATTTTAATAAGTATTCCTAAATGGATCTCTAAAAATATTGTTTCAATTCACATTTTCTGAATTGTATATGAACTAAAAATATTTACATCAAATATAAATATTGACTGAAAATACATTTCTCCCAATATATCACACAAATCCCTGGGTTATTAAAATGGGGATTTTACCTTTAAATACTGTCTCAAAGAGTGCTTTGCAACCCACATATCACATATTGCCTTCTGTGAAAGCTAGTTATATATTGGTATTCTCTCTCTTGCTAAAGTTTCTTGAATGTAGGAATTTTCATCCTATAAATTTTTGTGCTCCTTAAGAGAAACCCTGTATAAAGTCAATATTCAACAAATACTTTGTTGACTCCCATTGCTAAATATATTTTACCCTTGCTTAGGACATAGATTGCAGCTAAAACTATCCAAGGATTAGTCACCAGTGACTCATAATTATGCAACCAAGAAGTAGGCCTCAAACTTTACTTATTCCTTTGTAGGTTAAGGTCAAAGTTTGCTTCCCTTGGGCACAATTAAAGGGATGGCTTATTATTTAGCTGTACTGATTTTCCCATTATTTTCAGTGAAAATTTGTGATTTTTTTTTTTTTTTTTTTTTTGCTGCTAATATGAAAGGTATTTTCATGGGGAAGAAAATACTACTGACATACAATTTAAAATAAACCCTGCTGGGGTTGTAGCTCATGGATAGAGCACATGCCTCGCACATGTAAGGCACTGGGTTTGATCCTTAGCACCACATAAAAAATAAATAAAGATATTGTGTCCATATTTTTTAAAAAAAATCTTTTAAAAAACAAATACATAGGGGCTGAGGTTGTGGTTCAGTGGTAGAGTGCTTGCCTACCATGTCTAAGGCATTGGGTTCGATTCTCAGCACCACATATAAATAAATGACTATCAACAACTAATGAAAAAATATTTTAAAAATAAATAAATAAATAAATAAAAGGAACCATGGGGGCCATGGATGTAGCTTAGTGGTAGAGTGCTTGCTCAGCATGCCCTAAGCCCTTGATTCAATCCCCAGCATGGAAAAAATAAATAAATAATAAAAGGAACCATATTTTGCAGAATGGATTCTTCAGATACAGTTCCCCCCCCCCTCTTCTAGTGAGCTACAAAAGATAGAAACTGTCTTGGATCCATGTGAATTTATATAACTGCCTTTTGAAATATTTTCCTAGTGTCTATGATTTTATATTTTTCTTATCTGCAGAATTTCCTATTAACTCATTCCCAGAGGGATGTTGGTTTTTATGTATTCTGAGAAACTTTGTTTCATTACTATGGAGATATCCCAGGCTTTTTACTTGGTCTATTAATTAGAATAATGCTTGACATTTTAATAAATAAACTTCAAATTTTCAGTAGCCAAGCTGGATGCAGTGGTGTGTGCCTGTAGTCCCAGCTATTTGGGAGGCAGAGGCAGGAGAATCACTTGAGCCCAGGAGTTCAAGACCAGCCTAGGCAACGCAGCAAGATTCTATCAAAAAAATTCAATGGCCAGCAGTATAACTTAATAGAAGAATACATGCTCCCTGCACAAGGCCTGGTTTCAATCCCCAACACCAAAAAATAAAAATAAAATCATTTTAGTGACTTAATATGGCTGAAGCTCTTATTTCTTTTCTTTTTTTTTTTAATCTTTATTTTATTTCTTTATTTTTATGTGGTGCTGAGGATCGAACCCAGGTCTCACACATGCTAGGCAAGTTCTCTACCACTGAGCCACAACCCCAGCCCCATCTGATTTATTTTCTTGTAGTGCTGAGGATTAAACCCAGAGCCTGTGCACACTGGGCAAGTGCTCCATCGCTGAGCTACATCATCCCTCAGCCTGTGTGGTAGAATTTTATTTCTCACTCACAAATAACCCAACCTAGAGCATTTTTGGTCAGTAGACAGCTTTTTCTCCATGTGTGAGTAAAGGATCCAACTTCACCATCTAATCTATCCTTTTCCCATGGAGTCTTACAAGGAGAAGGAGAAAAAGAGAATGGAAAAGGCATACCCACTTCATGATTGCTTCAGCCTAGACGGGACATACCACTTCCACTCATATTCAATTGTTAGGACCCAGCCTTTGTTTTCCCCACATGCAAGGAAGGAGAGAGATTTAGGCCATAGCCTGGCAGCCATCTCCCAGCAACAGTTCCACAATATGAAAGATAATTAGGTGATTCTCACAACTTATCAGCTTGGCAGAACAAATTTCAATTTTGTAGATTAAGAGAGAAGCACTGAAAAATTGAGATCCTGAGGTTAGTTAGTGGTGGAAGTGCAATGGCGAAGCCAGATCACCTGACTCTTATTTAGTTTCTCTTAATATTACAAAGCCATCCTAACCTGGCTTAAAATATAACTCTTGGTGATTCATTACTTTAATTTTCTTTAAACTCCTTTTTTCTCTAGGGATCTCACAATGTCTCTATATTGTGGAATAGCTTTCAGAGGAAAATCCTTTTGTTGCTATAGGCTGCTGTCAACCTATGTCACTAAGTCTAGGTAAGTTGTGACTAAGCTGAGCCCTGACTATTCTGTTCTGGGCCTAATAAGTTATGAAATCTAAACATCTCAAAATCCCATTTTGAGGATTAAGTATGAAATTACCATTAAGAATGTTCAATATAAATTATTTACCATTGAAAAGATTTTAAACAAATGAAATTTCCAATAATATCTAAAATATCTCACACTCTTGAATGTAAATTCTGTTAAGATTTTGGGGCTATGGATGTGGCCCAGTGTTAGAGCACTTTCCTGACACGCATGAGGCCTGGGTGCTATCCCCAGCACCACCAAAAACATAAGGATAAGATTTTGTCTCTTTCATTATGATACCTTAGTGCATAAAACAGTGCAACTATGAAGTATTACTGAAAATATTAATACTGAAGTATTAATGAATGAATAATAAGGAAGGAGTTAAATAAATTAAAGTTCATGCATAGATGGAATAATAAACACATTAAGAACTATATTGAATAACATTTCATGAAGTTTCCTGAAAATAATGCGGATAACTCCAATACCTCCTTCCCCCCCGAAAGAACTAACCTTCAGCGAAAAGCAGACTAGAAAATAAAAACCTAGGGGCTGAGGTTGTGGCTCAGCGGTAGAGCACTTGCCTCACATGTGCAAGGCCCTGGGTTCGATCCTCAGCACCACATACAAATAAATAAAATAAGTGTATTGTGTCCAACTACAGCTAAAAACTAAATACTTTTTTAAAAAAGAAAAGTCTATAATCACACAGAAAGATGACAAAGGAATTTTTTGTCTTAGCCTGGAGAAATTTGAAATCACTAGCCTGCTCTCATAGTTTCGGGGTTTGAATGTTTGCAATCTCTGTGGTATAGCCCAAGAACCCCCACCTAATAAAGGAACTGAAGTAGTAATCCTGGACTGATAATACCCCTGGGACACCTTGCAAATCAAATGTAAAACCCTTCAGGAGCCAGACACAACCAGGCTCTCTAGTTAACCTTACCAAACTTGAGTGCCAAGTGCAAAATTAATAGGCATAAAATTCTTCATGAGCAAGAGTGAACAAACAACAAAATTGCAAAATTTTTTGATATTTTTGGACATTTAGATGTTTGTCCTTCTTACACTGAGACTCCAAAAACAATAACAAAATTATTGAGAAGAAGTCTAAGAAATGAGAATCTTAAAGTGATTAAATGTATTTAAAATGAATTGAGGCCGGAGTTGTGGCTTAGTGGCAGAGTGCTTGCTTAGCATGCATGAGGCACTGGGTTTGATCCCCAGCACCACATAAAAAGTAAACAAATAAAATAAAGGTACTGTGTCCACTTACAACTAAAAAAAAATTTAAAAAAAATAAATAAAAATAAAATGAATCGAAAGCATGAGAAAAGAATAAAAGTCTATAAGTAAAGAAGGTTATGATATAAAAAATGTTTATATATGTTTAAGAAGAAAAGACTACAAAAGAGTAGGTATGACTGATTCTAAATATACCTATACATGCACTGATGTATAATCTTAAAGTTTGTAGAGTTCCAAAGTGTAAATAGTGATCATCTCTGGTAGGATTGCTGATTATTTCCTTTTTTAAAAAAATTGATAATTGTATATTTTCTGATTTCTAAAGAATGACTTTTTTAATGGGTATAAGAAAAAACAGCTAAAGGTTTTCTTGGTATAATTTTAGTATAGTAACTTCTATACTATTATAACTAAATGGAGAAAATGAATTATTTTAAAACACAGTTCTTTACTGAGGAGAGTATGAGTATGAGGAACTTTTGGACTTAGTTCCTGTTCCATTTGTGGGTGTTTTGCTTTTTAGGGTCATTTGGGCAGAGCACAGGTTGTACCACTCTTAACTCTTTTGTGAAAGCAACAGTGTTTGTTCCATTATTTATATTTGGTAACTTCTTGGTCATTCTACTTTGACAAACAAGGAGTCTTTACTCCCCATTCCAGGCTGCAGTCACTTAAAATGAATTTTAAAATATCACAGGTCTTAAAAGATCCAGTTTCTTTTGTCTTCTAGTTATAAAGAGCTCATTATAATTACCTTTATTACACAATCAAAATAAGTTCCTAAAAATGGCTACTGGAATGTGTTTGTCATTTTGCTTTGTATTTTCACTGTTAAGCCAATGCTCCCTACTGGTGTTACAAATGCTCCCAGATCCTACAGATTTTCTGATTTCTGTCAGTAAATCATATTTTCCACTTACTTGACAAAATATGCCATATACCTAAGAATCTGTTTTAGGGTTTTTGATAGGCAAATTTTTTTTTGTTAATTCCAAGGCCCAAAAAAGCATCTGTGTTCAGTCTCTACTAATCACATGGACCCTGACTCAATTCCCGAGGATCTTGAAGGAAGAGATCAGACCACCCTTAATAAAAGTATTGGAAAAGCCTAGAATTCCATTTTATCTCTTTCTGAGAAATCAATAAAAGGATGTTTATTTTCCCACATTTTTATTTTGGCTATTGAAAATATTGTCCTCATTAACAAGTCACATATAGGCTTCATCAGTGGTCCCTTCAAAACAGATAAGCCGCCAATAGTGTCTACTTTTGGAGCTAGATGTTTAAAGTCAGGGTACACTGAAGATAAATGTGTTTCTTATCTTTGCTCGATCAAATGAAAGCTCCTGAAGGTATAGTGTCTGCTCCTTGGCCGTCTGCAGTAATCAAGTCTGCTCCTTTCTCTAGGTATTCTTTGGTTGATGTTTCATTATGGTACCTGTTTTCCTTTCACTCCACTGCCTGTAAATTCTTGCCTCACAGTATAATATTGGCAAAGTTCCTTGAGGTTCATTCAGTAAATATTTTATTACCCTCGAGGTTCAATAAATATTTATCAAATTGAGCCATTCAGTATGCTAATGACTGAGGTGCAGAGCTGAGAAAGGCAGACTCTGCCCTTAAGAAGATCAAAGTCTTCCAGGGGAGTCAAATGAACAAATAATGTGACAGTGCACCCACAGAAGTGTGGGCAAGGGGTGCAGTAGAATGAAGAACAGAAGCAGTGATTGCCTGTAGCCACCTCAAATCCTTTATAGAGCACATCAGAATGCAAATAAATAAGTAAAGGGAAATAACCATGGTGGGAGAGGGATGCAGGAACAGAACTCTCAAAAATATATGCTATGCTAGTAAGTATGGTCTTGTAATGGCTTAATTATTTCCCAAATGCAGGTATTTATTTGAACTGAAAGAAGATGATGATGCATGCAGAAAAGCCCAGCAGACAGGAGCATTTTACCTCTTTCATAGCCTGGCTCCTTTGCTTCAGCCATCAGGACATCAATACCTGGTCCCCTGGCTTAACCTATTAGGTAAGCCCAATGCGGACGAGTAGAGTAGATCACCTGTGGCCACTAAGCAGAATTCAGTCCATATTGGATCTCAGAGAAATATTCTTGAACTTTAGCATCCAAATTTTTCAAACAGCTTCTGCATCTCAAGCTTTTACAGCTGCTTCTGCCAATTAGTCATTTATTGTATGGACAACCTTAGTTGACCAGTCAAATATTAGGTGATGATATGAACTCTGATATTTTAAACCAGAGGTCAACAAAACTGCTATGAAATGGAACCTGCTGCCTGTTTTGTAAAAACATTTGTTTTTTCAGTGCTGGGGACTGAACCCAGGGCCTCATACATGCTGAACACACTCTGCCATTGGACTACATCCTCAGCCCCTATAAATAAATTTTTACTGGAACAGAGCCACAGTTATTCGTTGACATACTGTCCATGGCTGCTTTTGCCACACAATGGCAGCTGAGTATTGTGACAGACTGTATGACTCACAAAGCCTGAATTAATTAGTATCTCTTTATAGAGAAATTTTGCCAACCTCTGCCTTACACTGGTGATTTCCAGCTTCCATGGAGTTGTAATTGTTTTACTGTTTAAAATTTGCATCCTTTCTTAGTTTTTACTAGATAAAATTTGCATCCTTTCTTAGTTTTTACTAGATTTTTGTACTGGGGATTGAACTCATGGGCACTCTGTTGCTGAGCCACATTCCCAGCCTGATTTTGTATTTTATTTAGAGACAATGTCTCACTGAGTTGCATAGTACCTCATTTTTGCTGAGGCTAGCTTTGAGCTCATGATCTTCCTGCCTCAGCTTCCTGAGACACTAGGATTACAGGCATGTGTCTCCTAAGATCAAAATTTAAAGTGAATTAAAATTAATTTGTTTAGAGAACTCTTTTTTAGTGTGTATAAATATAGATATCTAAGCAGTTGGGATTTAGTGTTTTTGTTTTTTTTTAATGGGATCTCAATATCTTACTATGTTGCCCAGGTTGGCCTTGAGCACCTGGGCTCAAACAATCCTCCTGCCTCAGCCTCCTGAGTACCTGGGACTATAAACCTGTACTATAGCACCCAGCTGGGATTGGATATTCAAATATTAACTTTCAGTTTTATATTGATACATAAATATAACAAGTCACTATATACTGGCTAACTTCTAAATACATTGCCAGTAAATTTCTGTCATGGGTCAGATGTTGGAGTACTTGCATAGGTAGTTTCCAACAAATACAAGGGCTCCACTTGAAAGCAGTAAACATTTTTTTCAATGCCTAAAGAAGTTGACTGTCACTCATTTTATGAATGAAGAGGTATGTTCCTTGCATCGTACAATCGTAAACAGAGTTATACAGAATTCCTCAGATTGCCATTGAGAAATTGGAGGCCAAAGAAGTGATTAACCAATGAATGTTATACAGCTAATTAGCTTCAGAGCAGTGACTTTAAGCACAGTTGGCCTCCATATCCTCAAATAACTGTGGATGCCAAAAAAAATTTTTTTTAAATTGTGACTGTGCTGAACATGTATGGACTTTTTTTTGTTATTTTCCCCTAAACCATACAGAATAACAACTGTTTACTTAACATTTGTAGTGTATTGGTGATTGCAAGTAATATAGAGATGATTTAAAGTTTATGGAAGGATATACATAGGTTATATATAAATACTATACCATTTTATATAAGAGACTTAAGCATCTGCAGATTTTGGTATCTGTAGGTGGTTCTATAATCAGTCCCCACAAATACTGAGGGGCAACTGGATAGCTAAAGTAGATGATTTTCTGTAAGTCTAATCTGGCTTCGGTGATATTATTGAAACTCTTGTTTTTGTTTGTTTGTTTGTTGTGTGTGTATGTTATGTTTCTTAGAGTTGGAAAGGCTCCTGGGTAAGTTTGGACAGGATGCACAGAGAATAGAAGATTCAGTGCTGATTGGATGCTCTGAACAGCATGAAGCATGGTTTGCTCTGGATCTAGGTCTGAATAGCTCCTCTTCCACATATGGTACATAACACTTTCTAGTGGGTACTTCTCAGCAATTCTCAGACTTTGAGATTTCACAAAATAATATTTCAAGAAAAATTTTAGGAGTACAAAAGTTATCAACTTTTAATTTTTTTTTAGTAAGGTCATAAAATTTCTATCATTTAAAAGAAAATAAAGGACATTTTTAATGTTTGCTTTCTAAGCTAAGTGGTGAGTACACAGATATTTATTGTATTTTCTCCATACCTTTATACATTCTTTGCATTTATGCACTTTAATATATCATACATAGATGGGATATAATTTCTCATTTTTCTGAATGTACATGTTGTAGACACATTTTAAGTCTTAAATATTTTATAAGAAATGTTTTGAAATTCATATCATCATAGTATTGCTCTTACCAATGAACAGAAATGAGTGTTACCATGGGGTAGATCTGGGTCCCCAGACCATCAGGTGGGAACCACTCTGCTCTAGATTTATGGCTCCTATCAAACTTTCCTTCTCTCTTTAAGGGTCTGTGTGTAAATGTAATGATGCTGGAATGAGGTTCAGAGAGGAATTTAGAGGTCATTTCATCTCTTTTCTAGGGAGAGTTTGTGGCTAATTCAAATGAGTTTATTGCCTTGAAGAGGATCTTGAGAAATACTATGCTCTAATGTTTCCCAAACTAGCCTGACCATAAGAATCACCTGGTGCTTGTTAAATAAAGAAAGAAAGAATTCTGGGCCTCACTCCACACCTGCCGCTTCAAAATCTCCAGGTAGGAGCTTGAGAACCTGTATATTTTTTACTTTTCCCAGTTGAGTCTTATTAGACAAGTTTGGGAAACACTAATCTATCAAGATAGACTGGGGTAGGGGCTCAGAGACAAATTTGACATTTGTTTAATTTCCTTCTCTCTTCTGATTTTCTAGCCTCCTTACCAAAATCTGAATTGGAGACGGAACTCAAGGGGTCTTTCGTTGAGCTGAGGAAGGCTCTCTTTCAACTGAATCCAGTGGATTCCTCCTTGTTATTCACGGTAGGTTCTGATTTATCAATTCTGTAAGAAATTTAATAAAGTTGGGTCAAATCCATGTGTGCTACACAAGACTAGAGTGACATTTGATTTCTTCTTTTGTGGATCATAGCCCTGCCTACAAATTTTGGCAGGATAGTGTGTTGTAGGAAGTTTGCTGCTGCTTCTTTATTTTACCCTTGTTTTTGGCTATCAAGTTGCTATCAAGGCTCTTTTCTCCTAAGGACATGCAGATCTATGGCAAGAGAGTCCATCAGCCTCATAAACATTATTATTGGCCCACCGAAGGACATACAGAATGTCTTTAGCCTGAGAAATAATTTTTGAATTGTTTTAATAACTTGTCCTCACTGCTTTAGATTCTACTTCATTTGGCATTTTGATTGTCTATTTGATTTAAAAACTCTGAACACTTAGTTGCAAAAAAAAAAAAAAAAAAATCCAGCCTATTAAAGAGAAATACATGGGGGTGTTCACCTATACTGAAAATGTTTTCTTTTTAAGCTGGTCATGAATACATAGGTGCTTATTATCTTTTTATATTTTATTTAATAATCATAATACACTCTGTGCTTCCTTTTATTCATATTTCTGATGCTAGGGGAATATATCCAGATAGTTTCCTTATCTTAAACAGTTAGTAACCAGTTAAAGATAGTGAAGTAGAAAGGGATTAGCATTTCCCTCTACGTTGCTCTAGATACCAGGCCCAATGTTGTTGTGGATGAACCTTATTCTCTCCAAATGAAACCAGGCCCCTCTGTGTATTTCTAGGCTCAATCTCTTCTCCGTTGGCATGATGATCATCAGTTCTGCAGCAGAAGTGGGCAGCCCACCAAAAAGAACATGGCTGGCAGCAAGCGTGTGTGTTCTTCCAATAAGATAATCTATTATCCACAGGTAAGGGTTGCTTTAAGGAAACAGTAATCCAAGAAGGCTGTGAGTTACACTGTCCTGGGGAAGGAAGCCTGTACAATCAAAATGCTTCCTTAGCTGGACACGATAATGCATGCCTGTAATCTCAGTGGTTAGGGAGGCTGAGACAGGAGGATTGAGAGTTCAAAGCCAACCTCAGCAATTTAGCAAGGCCCTAATCAACCCGGTGAGACCCTAAATAAAATACAAATAGGGGCTAGGGATGTGGCTCAGTGGAAAAAGGCTTCCTTAATTATCTATTCCTTCTGCCCAGTTAGCAGGCCCCAAAGTGCCAGTGTCTAATTTCTGTTCTCCTTCTCTAGATGGCTCCTGTGGTGATCACTCTGGTGTCTGATGGGACCCGATGTCTGCTTGCCCGCCAGCACTCCTTTCCCAAGGGACTATATTCTGCTTTGGCAGGTTTTTGTGATATAGGTAAGAAGTGTCGGGGGATATACAGGTGATAGTGGGGGACAGAAAATCTTATTAATAGTAGACATTTCTCTGTTTTGTTACCATACTTCTTTGAATCTCAAGCACCATCTTTCCTTTTATATCAAGAAAACTGCCTTCTGGCATTATGAATTTCCAATATTGTGTTAGGCAAAATTTCAAACACAGCATAGTTAAGAAGATTACATAGTGAACACCCATTCAGCTACTACCTAGAGTCAATACTTATTTATGCCACTAATTTTATTGCATATCCATTCATCTATCCATCAGTTCATTTTATCTCTGATGTACAGATTGTGGACCTAGTATGCTTTTCTCTAAATACTTCAGCATGCATAATACTAACTAAGATTTCCATATTTATTACAGGGTTGTTGTTTGTTTTCTTTCTTAGTTTATTGGAGAAAAACTTAAAAATGGTGAAAAGTGAGATTTTTATTAAAGGTGAGGGCAGTAGTAGCCTCTCCCATTGAAGCCCTTATATAATATAGTTATAATATATAACTATACTAGGAGCTGGGTGCGGTGGCACACGCCTGCAATCCCAGCAGCTTGGGAGGCTGAGGCAGGAGGATCACAAGTTCAAAACCAGCCTCAGCAACTTAGTGAGGCACTAAACAACTTAGTGACATCCTGTCTCTAAAATATTTTTTTTAAGTGTGGAGGATATGGTTCAGTGGTTAAGCAGTCCTGGGTTCAATCCCTGGTACCAAAAAAAAAAAAAAAAAAGTGTGTATGTGTGTATATATAATCTATCTATCTATCTATCTATCTATCTATCTATATATATATAGAGAGAGAGAGACACACACACACACACACACTCAGATATTGAGGACCTCCCAAGAGTATTTTATTGAGACTTTAGAGCCAGTTTTTTACTCTCTTCACAATGGGCTATCATGGTACAGAAATATGATGCAAACTTCCGGCTCCAGAACTGTCCTGAATTAATCTGAGTTCTTGCAGGTGAAAGTGTGGAAGATGCTGTCCGAAGGGAAGTTGCAGAGGAGGTGGGACTGGAGTTGGAAAGACTAGAGTACTCTGCATCCCAGCATTGGCCCTTTCCTAACAGCTCACTCATGATTGCTTGTCATGCAACCGTGAAACCAGGACAGACAGAGGTAAATTCTTATCTTTCATTTACTCTGGGATATTTCCTTTGCTTCATCCAATCTGCTGGTCTGCAAGTAGTCAGTGAGCTAGTGAGTGAGTCTAGTCCAGTGGGTGTAGATTATACAGTGATATGTAAGATTCGATTTATACCCTCAAGGAATTTGCATTCTAGTAAAGGAAACCAATAATTGCCACTCTCCCTTGCACATATATCAATCATAAGACAATTTCTTTATATTTTTAACTATTGAGGTATAATTAGCATATAAAAAGCTATAGATATTTAATATACCCAACTTGATGGGTATATTTAGATAAATATACCCCATGAAGCCACCAATTAATCTTTATGAATGTCATCAACTTACCCATCATTTCCAAAAGTTTCCTCTCGTCTCCTTTGTTTTTTTTTTTCTTTTGTGGTAAGAGCCATTTACAAAAGATCTATCCTTTTAGCAAATTTTAATATATTCAAAATAGTACTGTTAACTATAGGCCCTATGTTGTACAGGTCTCCAGAACTTATATTGTATATTATTTTATATTTTGTGTATTTATTTTATGTTCTTTGACCAACACCTCTCTATATTCCCTTCCCTCCAGCCACTCCACTCTTTATTTCTATGTATTTGACTCTTATATTCCACATGTAAGATCACACAGAATTTGTCTTTCTGTATTTGGTTTATTCCACTTAGCCTGCCCTCCAATCCATCACCTTGTTGCAAATGCAGGATTTCCTTCTTGTTTAAGACTCAATAATATTGCATCATCTGTATATGCCACATTTTCTTTATTCATTCCTTAATAGACATTTTAGTTGTTTCCGTATCCTGGATATTGTGAACATAGGAGTTCAGATATTCCTTCAAGAGACAGATTTCATTTCATTTAGATATATACCCAGAAGTAGTATTCCTGGATTAAATGATCATTTTCCTTTGTTGCCAGCTATTATCAGGTATGAGGTGATACCTCACCATGGTTTTAATTTGCATTTCCCTGGTGATAAGTACCATTGAACATTTTTTTATATATCTTTTGTCCATTTGTATTTCTTCATTGGAGAAATGCCTATTTAGGCATTTTGCCCATTTTTAATTGGGTTATTTGCTGTTGAATTGTAAGAGTTCCTTACATATTTCGGATATTAACTCCTTATCATATAAATGGTCTGCAAATATTTCCTCCCATTCTGTAGAGTGCCTTTTCATTTTATTGTTTCGTTTCCTGTGCAGAAGCTTTTTTAAAATTTTTAAAATTTATATATGACAGCAGAATGCATTAGGAGTTTTATTACACATGTAGAGCACAATTTTTCATATCTCTGGTTGTATACAAAGTATATTCACACCAATTCATGTCTTCAAACATGTACTTTGGATAATAATGATCATCATGTTCCACCATCATTTCTAACCCCATGCCCCCTCCCTTCCCCTCCAACCCTCTGCCCTATCTAGAGTTCATCTATTTGCAGAAGCTTTTTTGTTTGATATAATCCTATTTTTGCTTTTGTTGCCTGGCTTTTGATGTCTTATCTACAAACTCATTGCCCAGTCCGGGGTCTAGATGCTCATTCTCTGTTTTTTTTTTTTCTTTTTTCTTTTTTTTTTAAAGAGAGAGTGAGAGAGAGAGAGAGAGAGCATTTTTTAATATTTATTTTTTAGTTCTCAGCGGACACAACATCTTTGTTTGTATGTGGTGCTGAGGATCGAACCCGGGCCGCACGCATGCCAGGCGAGTGCGCTACCGCTTGAGCCACATCCCCAGCCCCCTATGTTTTCTTTTAAGTGGTTTATGGTTTCAAGTTTTGCAGTTAAGTCTTTAATCCATTTTGAGAGTTTTGTTGTTGTTGTTATTGTTGTTTTGTTTTTTGGTATCTGGTGCATGAGTAAGGATCCAATTTCATTCTTTTTGCAGTTGTTTCAACATCATTTATCTGATAAAATTTTATTTTTCATCTTTAGATTATACTAGTACCTTAAATAATAGGCATAAAATACATATATCAAATTTAATGACCGATTTTAGGATTCATCTCATTGCTCAAGTTAGTCAGGATCTTGGGGGCTAATGATATAAAATTATAGGAACTTCTGGTTTAAAGGTGCTTAGATGTTGTCTTATCTAAGCTCATCTCACTCATTTTCATCTGTGGCATCTCTGATAATAGCACTGCGGTCCTTGTGAGCCAAAGTGTGCCCATTATGTGCTTTGATTTTTATAGAATATTCTGTTTTGATTTCCTGTGGACAAAGTTTGCATTTGTTTGCTTCCTGCAAAGAAGACACTGTGCTTTTGATTACCATTAACCCTTAATCTTTACAAAAAATAGTAATATTTGTAAGTTCTCTTTTAATTCAATCATACAATCAATGGAGGCACAAAGTAAAACAAGTATTATTCATAATTTACCACTCAGTGTTAACCACTACTCTTGATATTTTAGTATTTGTACTTCCAGACTTGGTGGGAAGGGGCTTGCTTTGAACCCAGGGTCTCCTGCATATGAAGCACATGCAGAACCACTGAGCTATATATACTCCTAGCCTTATATTTTCAGGATTTTTTTTAAAGTATCCTATTTTTAAAAAACTGTTATTTTTTCAAATGCATTTAGGTCTCATTCCTAGTTGTACTTCTCTTGTGTCTGGGTCATATCTAGAACTGAGTTTCATTTAACCTGTAGATCCCAGGTGTTACCTTCCAAGGTAATCATTTTCTTATTTTTGGCCATAGTCTTTTAAAATTTTATAGTTCCTAATCTTACTTTGTTTTATCCTCATGTCTTTCAGATCCAGGTGAACTTGAGAGAACTAGAGGCAGCTGCCTGGTTCAGTTATGCTGAGGTGGCTGCAGCCCTGAAGAGAAAGGGCACCTATATTCAGCAACAGAATCAGAGTTTTCCATTTCTCTTGCCCCCAAAGTTAGCCATTGCCCACCAACTGATTAAGGAGTGGGTGGAAAAACATGCCTGTTCCCTGCCTAATTAGCCCAGGTAAAGCCATTGAGATCCCTCCTTGGATTGCTGAAGGACATACCAGAGATCCATTATAAAGGTGAGGTAACACAAGAGGAAGGACAACCTCAAGCTAACCCACAGCAAGACAGCTGTATCAGCAATGTTAATGAAAAAAGTTTCTAATAATGGGCCCTCAAGAATGCCAGTGTAAGCTGCTATGGTGGTGCAGGCCTGTGGTCCCAGCTACCTGGGAACATGAGGCAGGAGGATCATTTGAGCCCAGGAGTTTGGGGCTAACCTGGGCAACATAATGGAACTCCTATTTTTAAAAGAATGCCATTGTGATAGGAAAAACAGATGAGATGTCAACTATAAAAATCAGAGGGAAGCATGAAGATTAGTGTGGATGTAGACCTTTGATCACTCATTTTCTCTCAGGCCTTAGGAGCAAACATCTGGTACATGGCTTGTTAATGCTGTGTTTCCTGTCTGCCAAAATGTACCTGGGGTAATTTTGGTGAAAATCTTTATTTTAGTACTGAAAATATGTAGCAAGTTTCAAATCACTACTGAGTTACTTTTTATCCCCCAGAATTATGAAAAATTGTGCAATATAACATTTCTGAATTTGTGTACAGGTACATTCTTATATATGGTAATCAAATAAAAATTGTATTTCTTTAAGTCATCTGAAAGGCCGAGGAAGGAGGGAACTCGGATCTTCCTGGGAGTACTCTGCCATAAATCAGAGGTAGTGAGGTTCTGTTGAGGTAGTTGAATCTCAGAGGGGCTCAAGATGATTAAACACTATTTTTGTGTTCTCAGCTCTGTGGCTTGTTCAATTTGTGAATCAGTGAAAGGACTACCAGTTTGCCATGCTTGTTTTCCTAAGTGTAAAAGAACCACTGTCATTTACATACCCAGAAAGTGCTGATTAATTTCAGTTAAAGGATTAGCAAGGATAAGCAAAGGTCAACCTGAACCATTTCTTGAGATTTATGGGATAAACCAAATTTAGGATAACTCATCATTCATATAGGCTGATCTATACCTTGTCATAAGTGAGGAGTGTATTTGGGAAAAATAAAATGTATTTCCACACCTTTGCTCAGATGTATTTTTTTTCCTATTCTATGAATTAAGAATTTTAAAACATGAGGATGGGAATGGGTAGGAAAGATCCCTTTTTGATGTGACAATAAAATGTTTTAAGTGTACTTTCCAAGTCTGCAGCACAATTGAAACAGTGTGTAGAAGAGATGCTTTTAGAGGCCAGGACTGGGGCTGTGGCTCAGTGGTAGCGTGTTTGCCTGGCATGTGTGAGGCACTGGGTTCGATTCTCAGCACCACATATAAATAAATGAATAAATAAAGAAAGGTCCATCAACAATTAAAAAAAAAAAAAGAATAACTGTGGGAAGAGCCATTTCTTCAGATGATTCTAGGCATTAATTTATGACTAAAAGGCACAAGCCCCAGAGACCCTTAAGATTATTCACACATTGATGTCCCACAGGACTAAGCAAAAGAGATTCTAGAATTAGAAAAGTTGGAGAAATGAACTTCCTTTTGACTCCAAAGGGTCATTGCTATCTTCCCTGCCAGCAAACCATCAATGCTTTGGGGAAATCAAAGTGCCTTTATCCACTGTCCTTGAGGGATAAAATGTGATGGGACTTTATTGTCCTGTTAGATTGGCATTTTGCCTTTCCCTGGGGTGAACCCAGTATGTAGAAAGGAAATGTACTTAGGAAAGAGGACCAGAGATTTCTTCATATCTTGTAATCAGAAGAAAACAGTTCAGGGTCCATGTGTATTACTGTCTGCCAATCATTTCCATTTCTGTGGGTGTGTTTGTGAGCACATGTGCACACATTCCCCATCTGAAATACCAGTAGAAAGGGTAGTGTGCAGGGTTCCGGTTATGAGTTTCTCAAACTTACCCTGGAATAACTGCTTTTTGATTAATGCGGTTTTGGTTTTTTTTTTTTGTTTGTTTGTTTGTTTTTTGGAAAAGAAAAGACTAACAGTCACAACGTTGGACTTTGTTTTCCTACACAATTAGGAAAAGGGCTTTGCTATAGAAAATGATATCTGAAAACAGGCGGAATACAGGGTTAGGGTACTGAAAAAGGCAGATAAATAGAAGAAACTGGTACAAAGTTTTGGGACTGGAGAGTGAATGTATGCAATGAATTATGGAGGTGCTGAGAATAAATAGAATTCAGCTGAGTCCATGATGTAGCATAGCAAAAACAGGCAGAATGTTAAAACAAATATATTTGTCACCAGCATGAGCTTGGCTTAAGGTCAGGTAACCATGGTAACAGAAATTAAAAAGCAATGAATTCATTCCTTATTTTTGCCTGTTTTCCTTTCTCTGCTCAACATTTAATCTTCCATGAAGATAAACTTTATGTACCACAAATACATTGTGGAAAAACCTATTTCTCATAATCAATCTGGAATAGCATTCTTACCAATGAAATGTAACTTGGAAGCAAATTATAAGAATATATTTACTTAAAACATTTTAAATTGTTAACATTATTTAAAATGTTGCCTTATGTAATAAAAAGAAACATTTTTCTCTGCTGCTTTCTTTTTTATATATATTTTATTTTTTTAGTTGTAGTTGGACACAATACCTTTATTTTATTTACTCATTTATATGTAGTGCTGAGGATCAAACCCAGGGCCTCACATGTGCTAGGCGAGCGCTCTACCACTCCGCCACAACCCCAGCCCTCTGATGCTTTCTTAACTACTAGTACAATGCTTTCCCTCTTCCTCAGTTATTTCAGTCAACACTGCTATGAAAACAAGAGCAAGGACTGAAGGAGGGTATGATGTAGTTTGTGATGTTAGGTTCACAAACTATATAACACCATTCTCCTAATTCCTCTCTTTGTCACTGGAAAGGAGCTGTATAGAAAAAAACTAGGCACCCTGTATTCAGGGGTTCTGCATCCTTGGATTTGACAACCATGGGTTGAAATTTGGGGGGAAAAATTTTATCTGTAAACATCAACCGTACCTGTTTATTTCTTTTCATTAATTTCTAAGAATACACTGCAACAACTATTTACACAGCACATACATTGCATTAAGTAGTATAAGCAAGTGTACTAAATTCAAAGTATAGAGGAGGTTGTATGTCAGGTTGTATGTTAGCACTGTGCCATTTAATATAAGTGACTCAAGATCTGTAGGTTTTGGCCTGGGGTAAGGGTCCTGGAACCAATCCCTATGGATACTAAAGGACAATTGTACTTTCACTATCATTACCTTCACAGGACAAGATATATAAGGGCATATTTTTTCTGCATACAATTAAGGGAAAAACCAGAGACTCAGATTATAAAAACATGGTTAGTAATACGGAGCTATTTGTACTGACTTTATTCATTTTTGGAGGAATATGAGGATCATCTTAAGAGATAAAAACATTTCATCTTGGTAATAGATAAAGTAGTTATATTATCAATTTAAGAAACATTTCTTCTTAGTTAATAGATGTATGAGTTATAATAGTATCAAGCAGACTCAATTAATTCAAACTAATGCAATGTGTGAAACATCCCAAACAGGTAAATCCATAGAGACAGAAAGTAGATCAGCAGTTCTAGGAGCTGGGAAGAAGGAGGGAGTAGGGACTGACCATTATTTGGTACAGGGTTTCTTGGTGGGTTGATGAAAATATTCTGGAATTAGATAGTGGAAATGGCTGCACAATTTTGTAAATAATACTAAACTACTAAATGGTACACTATAAAGAAGTAGATTTTTGGTATGTGATTATGTCTCAATAAAACTTATTTAAAAAGTAAAGTCTTTATTCTGACATAGGAGCATACATGCAAAAATTTATCTACCATAAACTCAGAATTAAAAACTAGAATGAGCCGGGCACGGTGGCACATGCCTGTAATCCCAGCAGCTCAGGAGGCAGAGGCAGGAGGATCATGAGTTCAAAGCCAGCCTCAGCAATTTAGCAAGTCTCTAATCAACTCAGTGAGACCCCGTCTCTAAATAAAATATAAAAAAGGGCTGGGGATGTGGCTCAGTAGTTAAGCGCTCCAGTACCCCTTCCCCCCCCCCCAAAAAAAAAAAAAAAAAAAAACCACAAGAATGAAAAGTGAATGAGTTGAAATATATCATTTCAATGTATTTCAAAATATTCTGGTCCCCACAAAAAGAAACCCCACATCTATTGGTAGTTTCCCCTCACTCCCATCCTCCCAAACCTCTGGCAATCACTAATCTAATTTGTGTGGATTGCTTATTTGAACATCTCATACCACTGGAATCCTACAATGTGATCTTTTGCAATGGGCTTCTTCTCTTGGCATAATGTTTTTTGTTTTTCTTTTTAAAGAGAGAGAGAGAGAGAGAATTTTTTAATATGTATTTTTTTAGTTTTCGGCAGACACAACATCTTTGTTTGTATGTGGTGCTGAGGATCGAACCCGGGCCACACGCGTGCCAGGCGAGCGCGCTACGGCTTGAGCCACATCCCCAGCCCCGGCATAATGTTATAGTAGGTAATAATACCTCACAAAAATTTTCTTTGAGGGCTGGGGTATGGCTCAGTGGTAGAGCGCTCACCTAGCAAGTGCGAGGCCCTGGGTTCGAGCCTTAGCACCACATTAAAATAAAGGTGTTGTGTCCAACTACAACTAAAAAATAAATATTAAAAAAATTATTTGATTGCTTATCTAATATCTCTGGGAAGTTTGTGATTTCTATAATGATTACTCCTACATTGGGTATAAAACTATTAGGAAAAAAGCAAAACAAAAATAGGATTACTTTTTCACTGAAAATTGAAGCATAGCACACATATATATAGCAACACTAACCTGTCATTAATCTTAGTAACAGTCAAGGAAAGAGATTGAGTATAAACCAGCAATCATCTGTGATCACATACTTTCATAATATCTGTTCTACTTAGGAAAATATAACTGATGTGAAAAGCTTGAGTGCCTGATTACCTTTTTTAAAAAATATTTTTTTAGTTGTCAATGGACCTTTGTTTCATTTCTTTATATATAGTTCTGAGAATTGAACCCAGTGCCTCACACATGCTAAACAAGAGATCTACCACTGAGCTACAACCCCAGCCCCCTTGATTTTTTTATATGTAATGTTTAAAAGATATTTTTTATTTGTAGATGGACACAATACCTTTATTTTATTTATTTATTTTTATGTGGTGCTGAGGATGGAATCCAGTGCCTCATGCATGCTAGGCAAGCACTCTACCACTGAGCCACCACCTCAGCCCCTATTAATTAATTAATCTATCAAATTATTTATTTATTTTTATATGGTGCTGAGGATTGAACACAATGCCTCACACATGCTAGGCAAATGTTCTACCACTGATCTACAACTCCAGGCTTTTTATATTATGATCATTGATATAAGCCTTAAGTCTACTGCAACATTCAAAGCTAGTCATAAATTGTGTACAAACCAGTGTACTGTCTATTTATTTTATTTTTATTAGTATTATTTTTTTCAGTGCTAGGGATTGAACCCAGGGCCTTGGGAATGCCAAGTAAGTGTGCTACTACTGAGTTATACCCTCAGCTTTATTTTTATTTAATTTTTAATTTTTGGTACCAAAAATTGAACCCAGGGGCACTTAACTACTGTCACATCCACAGCCTTTATATATATATATATATATATTTGTTTGTTTATTTCTATTTTAATTTAGAGTCAGGGTCTCACTGAGTTCCTTGGGACCTCACTAAGTTGCTGAGGTTGGCTTTGAATTCACAATCCTACTGCATCTGCCTCCCAAGCTCTAGGATTATAGGCATGTGCCACCACACCTGGCTTACTTTACTTTTTAAAATAGACTATTCGTCTCACACTGAATCACTATTTTCTTAAATATCATGAAATAAATGAAAAAAGAAATAGATATAAGATAAAAGAGGAGCTGATATATCAAAGACCCAATTAGTAATGGAAACAATAAAATAGAGAAAAACTTGTCTTGAGTTTGTGCATAAGTGACTAAAACACAAAACATTTTTCATATTTGTAGAATGTTACACATGCTTTATGGGAAAAATTT